AGAAGTTGGAACGACACTGGGGGAACTGGAGCCTCTTTTGTATCTTTTCCCATCTCCTGACGTGCCTTCCCTCAAGGCCTCGTATATCTGGGCTAGCCTACTGATTTGGGGGGCTGAGAGGTAGGAGCATCAGTTGGCCCGCAACGTGGGTTTGCTAAAAGCCCACGCAGGAGCTGGAGCCCTTATTTTAGGGGTCTCAAAAGCTCTTTGGGAAAGTCAACTACCCTGTTCATAATCAGCTGCTTTTGAGTGGCTTTGAGTGACAGGGCCCAGGCAAGCAGGCTGGAGCTGAGACCCCAGACAATTCCATGCATGACCTCACGGTTCCAGAGGATTGGTAAGAACCCCCTTCATTTTGCGTTTTCCCAGGAGCACGCCTAGCTGGGAGAGGGTTACCATAGTGTTACAAATCAAAATTTGTCCAGCCAAATTAAAATGAAAAAATAAAATATTTATTTGCAATCAAATTCTATCTAGCCAACCACAAAGAAAGAAGAGAGCCGAGCCTGGGGTTGGCCCTGGGTGTGCAACAAGGAGTCAGCCTCAGCAGAGGTTTTCCTCTATGCCCACACACCTCCATCCTGGCACAAGCGGTTTTTATAGGGAAAATTCCGCCTGAGGCCAAGATTTCGGTGGTCAGTCTTTTCTTCCATTCAGAGTCCATAGGTTAATAAGATTTTCTTTTTTGGTGATGAAGAAGAACAATTCAGTGTCCAGAGTTGTTGAATCCCTTGATGAAATTTAGGGGAACCTGCATTCACATGTATCTGCCTGAGGATTTCCATGATATCCATCTCGGGTCGTTTACGCCATGATCAGCGCCTGGGGTCCCCTCCCCCCCCCCCCCCCCCCCCCCCCCCCCGTACATGGCCCGTTTCCTGGAGGAGACACATCCTTTTAAGTGTAAATCGGGTTCTAATATACACCAGGTTTCGCCTGCAAGGGTGGGGGGGACTCCTAATACAAACGTGTATACTCCAACAAATATTCAATATCACATATATCATACTAGAAATGGAGCGAATTATATCTACTACACATAACAATAGTGACCGTAGGACGCTGCGAGCACGGGTAAGCTAGGGCCCAGCGCATACAGCTTGGAAAGGGTGGGCTTGGGTATTGGAACGGAGAAGCTACTCCGACCGAAAGAGCCCGCGTTCCCGGGGTAGGGAACCCATGGGAGTGGTATGTAACCCTTGGACAGCGGCGGGGAAGCCCCCGTACCTCAGGGGAGCTGAGAAAAAGAGCGAGAGCAGCCCCAGCAGCAGCGCTGCACGCACATTCCCCCCCCCCCCCCCCCCGCCATTTCCCATGCTTTAAGACCAGGGAATTTGAAAACTCGTGCTGTGTAAGAGTCTGGTGGATAAGTGCACCAATATGATAAAAAAAAAATGGGCGCAGAATTATCGTTGGACCAAAAGAGTACATTAAAACACCTTAACAATAGTCTAACCAATGTTACATTCCCAAATAAGCTTCTACTGCATTTCGTATGCTGGTTAACAAAGGAAATGTGAAAGACAATATCATAGTTTTTGTTCATCAGGAAAATCCCCAGGGATTGTGTAAGATGCACGAAACAGTGGGGCAGGAAGGCAGGATGTACTGCTATTAGTAGATAGTGGAATTGAGAGATCTTTGAAGGCTGCATTACCATATTTGGAGAAGTTATTGCAGGGTTAACGCTACCTCGGAGGAAGAAGAATAGGAGCTTTCCTCAAACGACCATCGGACAGCAGAAAAAAGACCCCTAGCAACACGCCGCGCAGATGCAGAGCACATTGAGAATGTCACGAAATCCGGAACTGAAGGGGTATAAGAACTGAAAGACCAGGAGGTGCGGTGTGAGCCATTGGGGGGAGCAGAGGCTCCCCGGCCGCCCAGCACTGCATTTGCCCGTATTGCTTGCTTGCTAAATTAATAAAATTCTCTTTATAAAGTGACACAAATTGGACCCGTGTCATAATTTATAACAATTTGGTGCCGCGACTTGGATAGAGAAATAGCCTGGTTGTTCTGGGACCCTCGGGAGGCACCCTGCCTTTTTTTTTGGCAGCCCGATTGTCCCAGACCTCCAGGTTTCTCTACCGATGAACCTAAATTAAGCTGCGGGCAAAGGAGAGCCGGTTAAAAGGAGAACCGGTTACCCCTGTAAACTTTGTGCACGAAGATCCGAGCGAAGACGCAGGACGCGTGAGTATAGGCCGGTTTCCCGCTCGGTTTGGGGTGGTTTTCCCGGAGTGTTGTATATGAGAGGTCTCATAGAGACCAAGTGAGTGCGGAACCTCAGTAGTGAGGTTCCCAATACCCAAGAGGGCTTGGGCCACGAACCAGGGGAGTGTGTGTGTGAAAAATTGAGTGCACTCCGGATGATGGGACAGAGGAAAAGCAAGCCCTCTAGTCCCATGGGTGGGGGAACCCCTGCAAAGCTTCCCCAGATCCCTGAGGATAGTCCTCTAGGAGTAATGATAAATAATTGGCATGCCTTTCCCAGTAGGGGAAAGGGAAAAGATAAAGCAAAATGATCCACTATTTTAAGGAGGTTTTGGGAGAGTTTGGACCCAAATTTGGGGAGTTTTAAGGAGATTTTAGGGGGTTCTGACCCAAACCAGGAGGTTCTGAGCCAAGTCTAGGTGGTTCTGACACAAATTTGGGGGGGTTTGGAGGTTTGGACCTGAAATTTGGAGGTTTGGAGCCGAACTTGGGGGGTTCTGACCCAAATTTGGGGGTTTGGAGGCAGAATTTAAAGGCTTGGACCTGAAATTTGGAGGTTTTGACCCAAATTTTGGGGATAATGACCCAAATCTGGGGGGTTGTGACCCAAATCTGCATTTGCCCGTATTGCTTGCTTGCTAAATTAATAAAATTCTCTTTATAAAGTGACACAAATTGGTCCCGTGTCATAATTTATAACAGGAAATACCAAATTTCACTGTGCAAGAAATTAATTCAATCTCATTTTGGGACCAAATTGGACAGATATTAACTTTAAAAGTCGAAAATGGTGAATGTTATAAATTTGCGCCACAACGGAACATAATCCAATTAAGAATTTTATTAATTTACAGCAAGTAGGATATGAACAAGGGTAACAGCGCGCTGGGTAGCAGACCGAATACTTCCAAAAACCCAAAGCTCCGGCTGCTACCCCGATTCGCTCAAACTGTCTCCTTTTATTCCTATTTCTTCTTTTGTCTCCCTGGAATTTGCAAGCCAATTCCTGCTGTTATCTTGTGTTTGTTTAAGCAGTCCCTAGTGTGAATGGTTGTCGTGATCTTTATCTTGCATCGTCAGTCTCCGGTTGAAGTGCTTGTTATCTTATCTTGCATCAGCTGTGTCCGTTCGCTGTTTGCATACCTCCGTGGCCTAACCTTATCTCAATAGACAATACCTCAGTCTGTATTTTTCTCACAGTTGTCTAACTTTTACATATATCTTAATAAACAATATCTCAATCTGTAGTTTCTCACAATTCCCCCCCTTCTTCTCTTTATCCTATTATTGTTTATTAGACGTTGCTTTCATTCTCGGCACTGTAAATAAACCTTTTTCCACAATCCCAACATTTATCATAACACTCACATGGTAATACTTCTCAATTACAATAGGCGTAGCCCCCTCGTGGCATAACACATTCACAACAATCTTCCTTCTCATTAATAGATGCATTTTTATATTTTTCCCCCGACCTCGTAGTTAAAATTAGCAGTTTAGCTATGTCAAATCGTTTTTTTAATATCGTGTACTATACAGCGTAATATACAAGGCCCGAATATAAGTCCCAGAATCAATATAATAAGCGGTCCTGCTAAGGCAGACAGCAAGGTGGTTAGCCAAGGTGAAACATTAAACCAATTTTCATACCATGTCCTGCCCGCCTCCCGATCTTTTCTACGTTGATTTAACCTTTTCCGGAGTTCAGACATAGTGTCCTGAACTACTCCCGTATGGTCAGCAAAAGAGCAACATTCTTCATTTAGCGCTACACATAACCCCCCTTCTTTTAGGAATAATAAATCTAATCCTCTTCTATTTTGCAGTACTACTTCCGATAAAGACTTTACTGAAGTGGCTAAATTTTGGATAGATTGTTCTATTTTTGCTAAATCTTCATCTACAGCCGTCTGTAAACTTTGTAATTCCTGACTTTTTACTAGGGAGGCTATGCCTGTACCTGCTCCGACTCCACCCGCTATTAGCAGTGTAGCTAAGGTTACCACTGTAATTGGTTCTCGTTTTTGTATATTCAGGTCTCCTTCAAAATGGCGTAACACTTCCTCAGAGGTGTGATAGATCAGACGAGGAACAATTATCACCTGTACGCAGAACTGAGATTGATCAAACAGGTTTAAGGATAGGCAAGGCGTTACTCCTATGTCTGAACAAACCCATTTAGCTCCTGGTGTCGGGATAGCCCATTTGTCTTTTCTATTCTTGTGTTTATTTATAGTTTTTGTAGTGATTATTGTCGTTTGGTTGCACAAAGGCTGATAATTTTTGGGCACTGTACCGATACATTTTCCTTGACCTGTTACTAATTGAATAGTAATTCCCTGCGTATGGTTTTTCTGGTCATTCCATGGGCATTCTCGTGGGTTTGAACCACTAGACCATTGAATCTTAGCTGGTTTTCCAATCGCCTCAAAATATGGTGGTCTAACATTATAACATAACCAGCATTCCTTAGTTAAATTTGGTTTGCTTTCATTAAGGGCACGATAAGAGGCTTGCATTAAATCCCATAAAGGGTCTTTGGATTTCAGCACACCTGAATCCCTACCAGTCACCACGTCATTAGCTGTTCTATTTGTTATCGATAAGGGGTTTGGACAAGTGGTTGTAACACTTGCGGGGACTATCTTTTTCATAGGGGAAATGGGTGAATTCAATACTTTATTCGGCCCAACAGGGAGTGAATTATGTGGTATTTTAACTTTTCTTATGAGAAAATGCCCTCCCTCGTCTTTAGGAATTCCTCCATAGACACGTATTCCCCATGTTAGTCCTATTAACCACTTGTCTCCTAAGGGCTGTATTACTTGAAATTTGATGCGGGTACAGACTTCCCTGTCTCGTGAAGCTACATAATCCACGTCACGCAGACCTGTAAGATCTACACCTGTTTGTTCAGGTACACATCCATTAGGAGTCCAGGTTGCTTTTATATATTTATCAGGAGCCTTTACTGACCAGCCCGAGGCTATTGTTTCACATCCCCAATAGCCACAATAATAATGTCCGGGATAATTACAGTAAGACGGTCCAGAAGCCGGGCATATATAAAATGGAGGTCCTTTTCCACAATGTATCGGTACTAAATCACAAAGTTTTACTATGAATTCTGGTGGACCTGTGTTGCTAAAAGTGGCTATTGTTCTCGTTCCTTCCCAAGATATTAGTTCCCACTTGAATGGTTCATGTGGGTTTCCCCCTTCTGCCAGGGTTATTATCAATATGAAGACTAACGGTATACCAGGAAAAAGGGTGTCTGTCAATTTTACCAATTTAAGTAGATTTTTACCAATCCTGGGGAAGCTTTGTTGTTCCTGCTTTTGCGTCCCATTGTTCTGATTTTTTTCTCCACAGTCTGTTCCTCTTCTGCCTCGCCCGTCGACTCGGTTGCTTCGAGTCACGGGGTGCATCATCTTCTCGGCAGCAAGGGAATTCTTCAGGAGAACAGCTGTTTCGGGATTTCTGCCTGTTTACATAGGCTTCCCACTTTGCAGCTTGAACTAATGGGGCAAAGCAAGACACAGTTAGTACTTCCCTTCTACACTTTATAACCAAGATTTCAGCCACAAAGAGGACAGGTTCATTGGAATGGTAATAATAATATTGAGGGTATCCACATTCACAGCGTGTCCACCATTTATCCCGGCATACCTTATGCCTAAAACAAGCAAATGGATAACAACTGTAGTTTAAATCATTACAACTAATTCGTATAACTAGAGTACATATATTATTTACATCAGCATATCTTTCATATTCACTATTGTGTGGCTACATATGCTTAACAATTTCCTTCAGCACACGTTGTACGCTTCCATATATAATAGATAAAAAAGGAAATAATTATAGCAAATATAAACAGCAATACACACTTTATACCAAAAGGTAATGCAGCAAAAAAATCAAATAAAGTCTTTATCATTTCGTTATCTTTTTAGAGTTATCTTGGTGTCACCTGGAGTACTGATTACTTTCCAGTGGGGTCTCGTCACTGGGCCTTTAATGCGGCTGGCATGAGTCCATCCACGCTCAGCAGTCCGGACAGCTGTTTCTGTTGTCAACAAAACGAGATAAGGTCCCTCCCAATTGGGTTTTAGGGTTTCTTCCTTCCACACTTTAATCAATATCCAATCCCCAGGTTTAACTTTGTGTATTTTTAAGTCCAACGGGGGTCGTTGCACAATCAGTCCATGTTCCCAAAGCTGGTTACGATGTTCTGCTAATTGTGAAACATATTCATTAATCACACGGTCTCTAATTAAAACATTTGTTTGTGGGCTTTCAATTCTGTAGGACATTCCATACACCATTTCAAACGCTGATATTCCTACATCTGCTCGGGGTCTGGTTCTGAGAATTAATAATGCCATAGGTAGGAATTTAATCCATGATAATTTGGTTTCTATCATTAGTTTAGTCAAAATAGTTTTAATTTCTCCATTCATCCTTTCAACTTTTCCTGAACTTTGTGGATGCCATGGTGTATGGTATTCCCACTTGATAGCCAAGCTTTCTGTTAGATCTCTAACAATTTTTGACACAAAATGTGTTCCTCTGTCCGAGTCGATTACTTCAGGTACTCCATATCGAGGTATAATATGTTCAAGTAACATTTTAGTGACTTGGTTAGCGGTTGCCCTGGAGGTAGGAAAAGCCTCAACATAATGTGTTAAGTGATCCACCATTACTAATAAATATTTGTAACGCCCTACCCTAGGTAGTTCAGTAAAATCTACTTGTATATGTGAGAAAGGTCTGTATGCTGGGGAACGTCCCCCAAGAGGTCTCTGTTTTATGTTTTTTCGATTAACCTTTTGACAGGTCTCGCAGGCTGCCGTGACTGTCTTTGCTATATTATATACGCCTATACAGGCATACTGTCGATTGAAATGATCAACTAATGCCTGAGTTCCCCAGTGTGTTTTGCTGTGTATTTTTGAAAATATTTCAATTGCTATGCCCTTCGGCAAGACTTCTCTCCCATCTGGCAATATGTATTTCCCATCCTGTTCCTTAGCTCCCATTTGTTCTAGTTTTTCTTTTTCTGCAGACTCAAAACTCAAATTTTTACTAACAGGTACTTGTTGCATAGTCAGAATTATATTATAATTGCCTGCCACTCGTTTTGCTTCTGTATCAGCTGCATTATTTCCCCTAACTTGATAACTTGTACCTCGCTGGTGTCCCTTTATATGTACAACTGCTATTTTATTTGGCATTTTCAATGCCCCCAGAACTCGCCAAATTAATTCCTGGTGTACCAGCTCTTTTCCCTGTGAGTTAATAAATCCTCTTTCCTCCCATATTTTCCCAAAAGTGTGTACTACTCCAAACGCATAACGTGAGTCTGTATATATAGTTCCATCCTTTCCCTTCAGTGACACTAATGCTTTCCACAATGCATACAGCTCGCAAGCTTGTGCTGACCAGCTGGCACTTAGGGGGCCTGATTCTCTTATCTTAAATTCTCCTTTTTCCCACTTAACGATGGCATATCCAGACAATCGTTTACCTTCCACTATTCGTGATGACCCATCTATAAATAATACTTCTCCACATTGTAGTTCTTCTTCTTCTAAGTCTGACCTAATGCGTGTTTGTTGTTCAATTGTTTGAAAACAATTGTGCAATAGTTCATTACCTTCTCCTGGGTACAAAAATTCAGCAGGGTTAACTGGTCCAATAGTTTTTAAAGATAGTTTAGGGGATTCTATAAGTATTCCCTCATACTTTAGTAATCGGCTATCTGTAAGCCATTTTTCTGCTTTTTGTTGCAGCACTCCCCTGATGTTATGAGGCGCATATAAGATAACTTCTCCATTAAAAGTAATGCGATTTGTTTCCTCAAGTAATAGGGCAGCAGCAAACAATGATTTGTAAACAGCTCGGCCAACCCCTGCTCACAGGGTCTAACAGCTTTGATAGGTATGCCACCGGTTTCCTTTGTCCGGCCCATTCCTGAGTTAACACTCCGAATGCCGTTCCTTCGTGTATGTTAACAAATAAATGGAATGGCCATTTTAAATCTGGGAGACTTAAAACTGGTGCTTGACTTAGCTCCCTTTTGAGGCTGGCAAACTGCTCTTGATCCTGAGGAGTCCACTTGGGTATTTTGCCTTTAGGCAATTGTTCATATAAGAATTTAACTTTAAAGCTGTAGTTCTCTATCCATTGCCTACAATACCCAAATAGTCCTAATGCCTGCCGAATTTGCCTCTTAGTGGCAGGCATAGGTAATTCCAGAATTCCTTTAATACGCTCTGGATCTAATATCTTCTGGCCGTTAAACAGATAATGTCCCAGATATTTCACTTTTTCCTCCACAAGTTGTAACTTTTCTTGTGATACCTGTAGTCCCTTTTGTGCAAGAAAGTTTAGGAGTCGAATGGTTTCTTTCTTTACATTCTCCTTATTATTCCCTGCTATGAGCAGATCATCTACATATTGTAACAGCACATTCCCCGTTTGTACCTGATATTCTGTTAAGAGTTCTTCTAGGGCCTGTCCAAACAGATTAGGGGATTCAGTGAACCCTTGGGGGAGCACAGTCCATCTTAATTGCTGTCTCCGGCCCGTCTCTATGTCTTCCCATTCAAAAGCAAAATAATTACGGCATTCTTCTGCCAGCGGACAGGCCCAAAAGGCATCCTTTAAATCAATCACACTATACCAGGAATTATGTGGTCCTAGTTTGCTTAGCAATGTATATGGATTTGCTACTACAGGGAACCGAGTGATAGTTCTTTTGTTTATTTCCCTTAGATCATGTACGAGCCGATATTTCCCATTAGTTTTTTTTACAGGCAAAATGGGGGTGTTAAAAGGTGACATACAAGGCTCTAAGATTCCTTGTGCCAACAATCGATCAATTTCTGGCTTCAATCCTCTCCGTCCTTCTAAGGATATGGGATATTGCCTTACCCTCACAGGTACGTGGGGTTCGGAAATTTGGATTTTAATCGGTGGCATTTCCAGTCTACTAATTGTGTCCGGAGAGTACCAAACATTGGGGTTAATTTGTTTTTGATCATCCACAGTCAAAGGATAAGCAGATACTGCCAACTCTTGATTTTTTACTTTAATTTCTAATTGCAGTTCAACAATTAAATCTCGTCCTAACAGATTAAATTCTGCTTCAGGGACGAGCAAGAGTTCACCCATTCCAAATTTATTTTCAGTTTTGAATACCACATTTTTGATTTTACTTACCTTAAAGGGTTCCCCTTTTGCCCCAATTACTTGTACCTTTTCAGGGGAAACTTTATATCCCTCAGGTATTTGCTTAATAGTTGATTTCTCAGCCCCAGTGTCTACCAAAAAGGTGAACTCTTGTTTATGGGGACCTATTTTTAATTTTATCAAGGGCTCATGGTGGCTCCGGTCCCCTAAAATATAGAGCCCCTGACTTTCCTATTCCGTTTTCAAATTTTCCTCGTCCCTGATCCTTTCTCTGCAATTCTTCTTTATATGTCCCTTCTTTCCACAGTAAAAACAAGATCTCTGTTCCTTTTCTATTACTACCTTTCCTTGTTTCATCCTAGCAGATCTGTGTTCACCAGTTCGCCCTTTGCGATCCTCTCTGACCGCTGCTACCATCATTCTTACTTGTCGCTTGCTGCTCTCTTCTTCCCGCCTTACGTAGACTTTCTGAGCTTCCCTCAATAATTCATCCAACCCTCTATTCTGCCAGTTCTCTAACTTTTCAATCTTCTTTCTGATATCTTCCCATGATTTTGCCACAAACTGAGTTTTGAGGAGCGCTTGTCCTAAAGGATCGTTTGGGTTTACCCCAGAGTACAGCTGAAGGGTTTTCCTCAGTTGTTCCAGCCATTCAGTAGGACTTTCATCTTTCTTTTGCATTTCATTAAATGCTTTATTGATATTCTGCCCACTGGGTACTGCTTCCCTAATTCCCTGAATTACTATAGTTCTCAGGTCCTGCATATGAGTTCTATGCGCCGGATCCTGATTATTCCAATTAGGTCTTTGGAGTGGCCATTTAATATCTGCTTGAGGTCCCTGGGCATGCTGAGCATCCCACAGTCTCATTCCTGCTCGTCTAATCATATCTCTTTCCTCGGTAGTAAATAATTGACCAAGGATAGATTGCATCTCATCCCAAGTATAAAGGTTTGGTCCCAAAAATTGATCTAGTCTTTCTGCTACTCCGAATGGGTCCTCAATTAAGTTTCCCATCTCGGTTCTTTTAAAATCTCGTAAGTCGGCAGAATTTAAGGGTACAGAAATATATCCAACCACAGGTTGAGGTCCTCCCATAGGTACTTCCCTTAGGGGGTACATCTGAGCTGCCCCTCTTTGACTTCTAGTTACACGTCTAGGAGGGGGTGGGGATCCTTGTTCTGATTCTGGTGGGGGAGTGGGCGCTCTGGGGATCTCTGGAGGGGCTGCGGGAACAGGAGGAGGAATATAAGGAGGGAGGGTTAGAAGGGTTTCGTCTAACTCTTCCTTCTTTTTCTGGGGTTTAGTTTTTAATTCTTTTAATGAATAAAGTCTAGCCCCCGGCCTTTCTAGCCACACTTCCGCATATAGACTCTCCTCCGGGTTAAAGGATTTTTTATTATTAACCCAGAGGTTTAATTGCTGTCTTACCCAATCTTATTCTGACCCATAGACTGGCCAAATGACATTTTTAGAAATCTTCTTCCATCCCCATATCTTAGTACAATATTCTATCATTTTTTGCTTATCTTTCCCTAGGGTTCCAGGGAAATACTTCCAATTATCTAAGATATATGCCAGAGGGGTATTCTTAGGTACAGAGAGTACCCCCCCCATGGGAGTCGAAGGCTTGCTGCCCTTCGCCCCCATCTTCTGGAATATCCACAAACACACACTCACTCGCTCCTCTTGTTCCTGGCCCAGTCCCTCGCGGGAGATGGAAAACGCAGTACTTAAGAGTCCACACTTGCTTGGTTCAGTATATCGAACCTCACATTCGTTATATTCCAGGAAACCCAATCACGCCCGAACGGCAAACCCGTGAACAATTTCGCCGCGAACAGTTTCGCTCTGCGAATAATTTCGCAATATACTTACGCGTCCTGCGTCTTCGTCCGGACTCCCGTGCACAGAATTTTTATGGGATTTTACCGGTTTTTTCCTTTGTTCATTATCCTAGAGTTTAGGTTCGTCAGTAAGGTTGAGGAAAGCTTTTGATCACAGGGCCGCGAAATGTCGCGGGGCGCCTTTCCCCGGAGGATCAAAAGCCCACCCTTCCTTATCCGAGTCACGGCACCAGAAATTGTTATAAATTTGCGCCACAACGGAACATAATCCAATTAAGAATTTTATTAATTTACAGCAAGTAGGATATGAACAAGGGTAACAGCGCGCTGGGTAGCAGACCGAATACTTCCAAAAACCCAAAGCTCCGGCTGCTACCCCGATTCGTTCAAACTGTCTCCTTTTATTCCTATTTCTTCTTTTGTCTCCCTGGAATTTGCAAGCCAATTCCTGCTGTTATCTTGTGTTTGTTTAAGCAGTCCCTAGTGTGAATGGTTGTCGTGATCTTTATCTTGCATCGTCAGTCTCCGGTTGAAGTGCTTGTTATCTTATCTTGCATCAGCTGTGTCCGTTCGCTGTTTGCATACCTCCGTGGCCTAACCTTATCTCAATAGACAATACCTCAGTCTGTATTTTTCTCACAGTTGTCTAACTTTTACATATATCTTAATAAACAATATCTCAATCTGTAGTTTCTCACAATTGTCTAACCTTTACATATATCTTAATAAACAATATCTCAATCTGTAGTTTCTCACAGTGAACATAAAGCTTCTCTATTTCTTCTGATATTTTTACAAGCCCGAAAACAGATTTTAGAAGCAGAAAAAAGCATAGACACAGACTACCAGACCGGCTAACCCTTTTTGACATTCCGATGCACCCCCCCGATACTTTTGTCCTGATATCGCTTTACCCACCCTCTATCCCCCTATAACACCTGTTTCTTCTCAAGAATATAGTCCGGACTTCTCCAAAAGGAAAAGGTTCTCTTCCCAGAGCCCTGGGAATGTGGCAGGGTCTCTGAGACACACGTGGCAGAGTAATGGCGGTGGCCATGTACTCCAATCTTCTTCCCATAACCCCCTCCTCCCCCCAGCCCCCCATCCCTCCCCCAACCTCTTCCGGCCTCTGGCAGCACCGCCCCACCCGTCTTATCAGTGCCTCCCTCTGGGTTGCCACGAGAACGGGGGAGGGGCCGGCCCCTGCACAGCCCCAAGCCCGGACCGTGCAGGGGGGCAGCCCAGCCCAGCCCACCCCACAGCACCGGCGGGGAGGGGATTACCCCACGGCACTGGCAGCCCGGGGGGTAGGAGGGGGGGAGCAGCTGCTTCTCACCGGGACCCAAGGAGT